CACACACACACACACACACACACACACACACACCACCACCACCACCCCCTCAGTCCCCGCGTTAAAGAGCTGTGGGGCCGGAGGGCGCGGCGTTTTTAAGCCCGGGGATCGGCTCTCTTTGGCGGATCAGTGTAAGACAACCCAGCCTCCTCCTCTGGAGCATCTCCTGCCATCACCCAACACACTTAACAAGAGGGTTGCATCGTTTTCCTTACAGATTTAGGACATTTTTGGGCTTCTTCTTGTCATTATTTGTTACATATTGACTAATAATTTATTACTTGGTGGCCTCTGCTGTGACTGCACTTCCTGGTGGGTGTGGCTGTCAAATATATATAATGAACAGATCAGAGAAAACCTATACACATGCATGGAAGGCTTCAATTGTTGGCAAACTGCCCCAAAGATCTGTTACCTTCAATATTTGGATGCATCCTTTGGGGTCCTGGATCACAATGAATTAGGTGTTTCACCAGCTCGTGGTTGCGACCAAGCTGTTGGTTCCAGCAGGTTTAGGTGTCTGTCCTAATGTCCACACGCGCTCACGTGAACCTTCGTGGGATGGAAACTACCACAACTTTGCATTTTAGGTTGCAGATATCATCAAACCTGCAGTCCAGCCCCACCACAGAGAAAAAAACCACCCATTCTTGCTCTCCCTTAAGTCTAAGGTGAGACACATGCTTTTGGAGGTATCCAGAGAAAACCTGCACCCGCGTGGGGAAACCAGCTGTGATTTGAACCAGGGGGCACAAACTGGTTGATTTTCTTTTTCTGAAACAAGTCCAAGTATTTCCTCAGCTACCAAAAAATCTGAACTTAGTGATTTCTCTCTCTTCGGGCATTTGCTCTGTGTTGATTATTGAGATTTCTCTGATGACATCTGTGGTGTTTCAGTAAAATAACTGGCATGGTTCCAACCACCAGCTCTCCCTGTTGAGCAGCAGGTAATATGGCAGCTGCATTGCAAAAATAATTATTCTCAAATATGTATGCTAACCTTTATTCTCTCAGTCTAACCAAGCGTTGTGTTAGTCTAAAATGTAGATGAGGGAGCGTATATTTGTCTTGAACTTATGTCACACCCAAGGGCCTGTGCTTGAAAGCACAGATTACGGGCACTCCCATGAGACATTTCATGGAGTACGAACAAATAATTTGTATAACGTGTACAGTTTGAGACTCTATTGGTTGTTTTGGGGCATTTGTGAAAAGACAGCTCTTTGTTATTTAGAATTTACAGATTAGAGAATCCAAACCGAGGTTCTGGGGTCAGGTCCTGGGTCTTTGTGTAGTTACTGAGTAACTAGATAAAACTGTAATGAATCAGACAGAACTGGACTGAGATTGATAATTATTAACTCCTTATAAACCTATCTTATTTGAATAATAAGTAAATGTATTGAATCAAACTTCTTACTTTCCCTCTAAAGTGTCCTTACATGACTTAAGTTGTTGAGGTGATACTGGACTCCGGCCTGAACTTTAACAGCCACATTAAAGCAGTAACGTCAGAAGCTTTTTACCATCTGAAAGCATTAAGAATAAGAGGAATAGAGTCTAAACCAGACCTGGAAAGATCTGATCCATGCATAAGTCTCCAGCAGGTTAGACTACTGTAACAGCTGCTCACTGGGCTCTAAACCAGCTGTGATCCAGCTGCAGAACATCCAGAACGCCGCTGCTCCAGTCTTAACCGAACCATGAAACGGGACCACATCAGTCCAGTTCTCAGTTCTCTGCTCAAGGCTTCCTGTCACTCAGAGAACAGACTTTAAAAGTCTTTTCATGCTCTAAAGTCCATCTCTGACATGTTAGTCATATCCTACATTTTAAAGTTCCCACTTTATGTACTGTAGGTGGGTATTTATTTCTCCTTTTGAGCATTCCTGTTCTGCAAATGTGCTCTTGTCCATTGTTGGCTGGCAGTTATTCATAGACACCCCATGAGCTTACAAAATGAAAATGAAATCATGTTAAGTAAAATAAGGATGCCATTTATCGAATCAACATAATTAACAAAGAAAAATTAATAAATAATATGACACAAATGTCTTCTTTAACAAGCTAAACAGGCATGGAGTCATGGCCACAGCTGTCTATGTGCTGTCATGGTTTGTGTCCAGGGCATGAGGTGCTGGCAATGTTTTTCTGAACCTTCTTCCCAGTTTTCTGGAGGGTGTAGTTGTAGGAGGGAGAGAGCGATGCCCCAAATGCCTTGACATTTTAAATTGATAAAGTTGTGAATTTGGCCCAGTTGGTCAGACAGTTTAAGTTTAACTGTAATAATAATGGAAAATATGACGTGTAGGATATTACACAAGTTATCTGTAAATTAAGGAACTGCATGAATAGTGAAGCCAGTCGATCTTGCACTGCATTTTCGACCATTTGTCTGAACTTTATGATTATTTTCTGATGTTTTTCTGACACTCACATTCTCTTCACCCATTATATCTGCCGTGAAAGCATTCGGGGCTTTCGCGTTTTAACACTTTATCGATATTTCAGTGAGAATTGCTTAAAAGTATTTGTTAAAAAACTTGATGTGCGACCTTCGGGGGGAACTGATTATCGTTATCCTGATAGCTACCCGGACTGTAAGAGGAAGCGGACATGTGCTAGCGCTGAACTTTTACCGTAAACAACATATTTTGTAAAATAACCACTGTACAGGTGCCTTAGAGAGAGAAAGCCCAATGAATCATATGACATAGATATGTAAATAATGTCAGACGTTGTTTTTGAGGAAGTTTCCGTGTTGTCGGCTATATATTGTGGAGAAGGAGAGTTCGAGTTGGTTCGGCAGTCGGGTAAGTTACATGCCTTAAAAGTTTATTATCATGCAGTTTATTAGGATTATTATTATAAATTGTGTTTACGCTGCCTTCTTAGTATGTATAAAGGTGCTATTTGCGTTTGCTCAGGCCTAAATTGGATCCCATTCCCCGCTTGCAGGGTCCAGCTAACAGCGCATGCTAACTTCTGATTTCTGTCTGCCCTCCAGCTCAAGATGGCGCTGTGGTCCGAATCAACTGCACCGCGGGGGGCGAGAGAGGGCTGAACGTGAGTTTGCTGTTCAACCTGCAGCCTCCCTACCCCTCCAGCCCCCCCGACATCTCCGTGTCTTCCGCTGCCCTCTCCAGGACGCAGTGCCAAAGCGTCCGGCAGAGGCTGCTGGACAAAGCGGCGGCCCTGCCCTCAGAGCCCATGGTGCACCAGCTGGTGGAGCACCTCCAGGTAAAGAGACAACAATCTCACACTCACAACAAACAGACAGAGCTCATCCTCTGGAACTTATACACTGGTGTCATCCTATTAAAGGCATATCCCTCTAAAACGTCCTCTTTAACACATCTGATGGAAAACGTGTGCCATGGTTGATGACCAGCTGACCTCTTTAAAGATCACATTACGGTACCTCTGTTTCTCGATCTTGTCGCTTCACACTGCTAAACATAAGAAAGATCCGATCTTACCTAACCCAACATCCTGCCCAGCTCCTGGTGCAGTCTATGTTTATCTCCCGCCTCGACTATTGTAACGCACTCCTGACTGGTCTCCCAGCCTGGACGGTAAAACCGTTACAAAGGATCCAGAACGTGGCCCAAAAAGTCTCACGTCACCACTTTGTTCATTGAGCTTCACCGGCTACCCCTGGCTTCCCAAGTCAAATTCAAGTCCCTGATGCTAGCCTACAAAGTGCTTAAAGGTACAGCCCCCGTCTACTTGAAGCCTCTGGCTAAGACTTATGTCATCAACAGATTGTGGTCTAGACTGTTTTCATGTGTTGTTCCAAGATGGTGGACTGACCTAACAAGTGCTAGAAGAACAGCAGTGTCCCTTTATATCTTTAGGAAACTCTTAAAGACCCACCTCTTCAAAGAGCATTTCCTATCCTAACTCTTCCCCATACCTCTGTACCCCCCTACTACTCTTTCTTTCACTTCCTTCTCTCTCTTGCTGCCACCACTGATTCTGACTAGGGATTTTCCTCTAGAGAACTTATTGTCATATTGATGATAACTGTAAAATTGTGTCTATTTTGTGAATCGCGTTGGATAAAAGCGTCCGACATAAAAAAAGAAGCTGCGGTGGCAGGTTGATGCTGATTTCCGCTTACAGAGGATGTCCCTGACGGGTTTGGTTCTCCGCAGCATTGCGTGGAGCTGGCTGAAGACTGCGGAGCTGCGGAGGGTGCTGAGAAAGAGAGAGAAAAAGAGGAATGGACCGCTGTGCTTCTACTGGACCACATACGGTCGCGAAATCAGTACGTTGGCTTCCTGGAGCGCTGGAGCCAGGATCTACAGCTGAAGGGGAGGCTTCTACTAGGACCCAAAATTCTGGTTATACTTCAAGGAGAACGACGTGACGTAAAGGTACCTCGCTGGAAAAAGTCATTAAGGGGATATATTATGCAAACCCAAGTTTTTAATAATTTGATTATGTACATTTGGGACTGTGGAGGGCCTATCAGCAGGCAAAGTGCGAAAAAAAACGACTCAGTCATATTTTTGTGGGCTGCGTCAGTCTCAATACAGGAGATAAATCAGGAGGTTTCAGAAGTCGGTAGTTTCTGACGTAATTTGCTCTAGCTCATTATAATATTCCAGCCTTTCACCTGCATGTTGCCCCCCACCTCAGCTTACTCCACCTATCTGTGGCAGACGTCGTGGTAGCGTGAGTGTCAGCGTGGCGTAGCGTAGTGTTAGCGTGCCGACGTGGGCACACCTCCCGGAAGAAGTGGGTGGATTGCGTGTGTCTCATTTGCATTTACAGAGACAGGCACTCCAAACCGAGCGCTCTGAACGGGGCTGTTTTGGCAGGGTGATTGAACTGCTATTGTGCTTCAACCTTATGGTATTTTGACCAAAGCTTGTCACAGACATTACATTAGGACACCGGGGAACTAGTTTAACTTGTTGAAATAGGGTATAATATGTCTCCTTTAAAGATAAGTCTTATTTTACAGTAATTGGAGAACTTACCATGTGGGACTCTTGTCATGGTTTGGTTCTGTCAGGGCCAGAGAGTAATCCACAGAAGGCCTAATCTTAGCCTACGGTTCTCGGATCCACAGCTTTGTCCTGAACTGTTAATTGTGTAATTGGGAATTGCCTCTGGAAATAACTAAACTGTAGAGCAGTAAAAGGTTAGACACGTCAGATTTTTTTTTTTACTCCGGCTGAGCCGAACAAACTCATGTTAATCTGATCTCATCAGCTATTCATCAGACGTATTCTCATGTCTTTTGCCTGATTTCCTTTTTCAGATTCGTGGACATTTAGGGTCATTTAGTTTGAGAGATGTTCGGTCTGGCTAGTAGTTATTTTTACCTCATTTTTAACTGGGGGCTACCATCATAAATACCTCATACTGTACTGATCTGTGTTCAGGAGTTTTGCCGTCGGTTGAAGACTGTTAAAGTGGATGTGGACGCATCAGGGAAGAAGTGCAAAGAGAGGATGATGAAAGTTCTGATTGAAACTGCCTCTGACTTACCTTCCCAACACAGGTACGCTTCACAGACTCACGACACTGACTGACGTCGGACATAACGGATCGTATAATGCTAACAGAAGCTCTCGTGGTCTCCCTCTGTCTCTCTAAATGTCTTTTATCAGGCTCCAGAGTTTTGAAGTGAAGGACTACCAGTCATCTCCAGAGCTGACGGCAGTTTTCCAGGAGCTGAACGCGGCTGAGCTCTATGAGCAAATACTGCCATCTTTAAAGTGACTGAGGGGGAAAACTGGCCACTCGGTGCTCACATGGAGGGCCACATGAAAACAGATGGAAGTATCAAGTGTTTTAATGGTGGGTAGAAGAGGCTGAAGCAACTACTCAAACACGACAAGCCATGCTGAGCATTTTAAAGCCTGAGTGTCGGCGCCATCTAATGGTCGGATCCGTAACGAAACTGTTATAATTCTATAAAGGCACTTTCAGTGTCTGTTTTCAAAGAGGAGTGGTGGGTTTCACAAAAACCTAAAAGGAAGATTCTATTTTCAACCCTCTGGCACAGGACATTATGGTTAAAGCTAACCTAAATTAACCTGTTTTTATCTTAGTAATTAGGATTTTACTCCCATTCAGCTAAAACATTTGATGTACAGAGAGATTCTTTCAAAGTATAAAGCTCCACTTTATGCACTACAAAGCACTATTGCCTTTTTTAAATTTAATTTAATTTAATTTTTTTGCTTATGGCAGTTGCAGAAAAACCATCTATGCCCTCCGAAGGGAAACCAGGAGAAGAATGATCCTGAGCAGCCCTCTAAAGCTTTATTGTGTGTGGTGGCAGAAGTGTGACGACAATGGCTCAGGGATGGTTCAAACCGAGGGGCAGGAGGCCACAAACTGCTGCAAAGGGAGCCACCCCACCCCCACGGAGCACCTGGCTGGACACTGGCAGCATCCAGAGCCCCAAACCCCGACTGTCCAGCCCCCACCGCTGACCCACGGTGTCGGGGAAGAGGCTGCCGTCTGCCTCCAGTTCTCTGATAATCCAGCCAGCTTCACGCTCCCCTACCATGGATTTTGGAACCAACCAGGAAAGATTGTCTTGCTGCTCATCCTATTTGAACTTTGAAGTGTCCACAAAGTATTTTAAGAGCATTGCAGGACATTTTAAAGAGAAGACAATCAGACAATGGCTAATCTAGTTTAGACGGGAATCAGTTTTGAAGTAAGAGGACCGGACTGGAACCTCAGCAGACGTGATACTAACAAAGGAGCAAAGTTCATGATAAACAAAAATTGTTTGGTTCCCATTAAAACCATCCGCAGGGCGTTTGGCGGACGCCTGTTGAAACTGCATCCACGACTAAACGTGCGTTTTTCTGTTAAGTTAAACAATGCAAAAATAAAGAAAAAGGCATAAAAAAATCCACTGTTTATATTTTGTCGGTTTCCAAACGAGTTAAAAAACAATCCCGTGCGCCCTATCGCTCTCACGCCTTTCAAAGTAAAACTTTTTAAACTTTCTTTACCATGCCTGTTACAAATTAAAACACGTCACCTAATAATAAATTAATAATTAACCGATTGAACATGCTATTCAAATAGCACCTATAGTAATGAGACGTTGAAGGAAAGAGTGAGACGAGTGGAGTGAGGGGGGAAGGATCACCAAGCTTTACCAAAAAAATCTAAGCTTTAAATTAATTACCAGGGTGTCTGCCTCTAAAAGGAATACAAGGAGTTTGTTCCCCAACAGGGGTTTCCAATAAAAAAAAAAACGCTCCGGCTCCGACTCCAACCACAAAAAAGCCACAATAAAGCTTGTGGTTGGAGTGGAGTCTGAGACTGAATTCTCCTTATTTGAAGAAGAAAAGATTAATTAAATCTACAGAGCTAATTAGAACTCTTGCCGGGGTTTTTTGGATGAACTGGAGGCCTTTTCCGCCCCTTATCTGTGACTGGGATGGACTCCAACTGAGGATCCACATGCGACCCCGGCTGAGGACGTCCAATCCTGGTACTATTGAACTCCTAGAATAAACACTGTCAACATTCCGGGACTCTTATATTTTGGGATTGTGACTGCGTTTGAGGATAGCTATCATCAGTGTCTCCAAAAGTGGTATTCACGGTGACTTTGCTTTTCCAGTAGGCGATTGATTAGTCCCTGGTTTGTGGTTTTATTCCCAAAAACTCAGTGACACATAAAGCTTTCAGTGTCCCAGCTGTTTTCGACTGGCCCAGACAAACGTGTTTACTCTGGAGTAATTGGGGCCCCTGCCTCCTGCTGAGGAGCTGACCCAAACAGGAAGGATGACATAAAGCAGAACACACGCTCGAGCTAGATAACGAGAGTATAATCCTCAGGAATAAAAACAGCGGAAAAAAAAAAAATCCAGAGAAGACTCCAGCAAACTGTCCGGGTCCAGAGCGAGACACTGGAGGGAGGTGAGATGAACCCGTTCCAGTTGGCTCCCCTGAACTATTTCAACCTTAGGTCAGTCCCCAGTTTACAGCTGTAGTGGCTTCCTTTCCAAAACTTCTCCAGACCACACGGCTGTTCCACGTTGTTCCATGTCTCTTTCTGAGAACACGTTTACAATGACCTACATGTTTTCTCTCACTTTTGGCTCTTTCTAGTTAATGACAATAGTTTTATCTTTAATAGAAACTAGACCTTTTGCACAAAGAGGCGGATCTAGAACCCTTCTGGGATTCGCAATACACCCTTTGTGATGAATATTTTATGGAAACTGCCTACAAAAGAGTAGACAGGAGCACATGTTGAATTCTTTTCCATTTGAAAAAGTTGGAGTAAAGATAAATTCGTTCACCAGGAGGCTTCTGATAAACTCACTTCAAAAGATACGTCAAATCCTAACTAATGACAGACGTGTTTATTCTTATAACCCCGGATATTCACACTGTTACAGATCTCGCCCTTTTTTAAGCTCCAAACTCAAGACATATCTGTTCAGGCTGGCTTTTAATACGTAGCAGTGATGTGACAATTTCAATCTTTTGTTTTTTTTGGAACCTTCTTGATTTGACTGTTTTTCTATGTTCACTCTTTCTATTGTATTTTGTGATTTTACTCATGGCGGCACGGTGGTGTGGTGGTTAGCACTGTCGCCTCCCAGCAAGAGGGTTCTGGGTTCGAATCCCGGGGGAACCAGGACCTTTCTGGGTGGAGTTTGCATGTTCTCCCTGTGTCTGCGTGGGTTCTCTCCGGGTTCTCCGGCTTCCTCCCACAGTCCAAAAACCTGCATGTTAGGCTGATTGGAGATTGGGGAAATTGCCCTTAGGAGTGAATGTGAGTGTGAGTGGTTGTTTGTCCTTGTATGTCTCTGTGTTGCCCTGCGATGGACTGGCGGACTGTCCAGGGTGTACCCTGCCTCTCGCCCGTTGACCACTGGGATAGGCTCCAGTTCCCCCGCGACCCCAACAGGGAATAAGCAGTATTGATAATGGATGGATGGATGGATTTTACTCATTTTTTTAGATACCTGCTGGTTGTTGTAAGGCTGTATAGTTACATTTTTGATTGATTATGCAAATTGTGATGTGGCGATGGTTTAGAGGATCTGATTGTGAGGTGAATAACTAAAGTTCCCTGTGGCACAGGAGGAAAGAGCCGTTTCCAACTGCTTTGATTGGAAGTGGTTCCATTTCTTCCTATGTCCCTATGGAAAAGCGCTATATATATATATATAGGCTACAAGTCCATTTACCTGAGAAAGACGGGGATTTATGTTTTCTAAGGCAATTGCTTTGCGCCGTGCTGTGAAATCACGCATCTGGCTTCCTCCACTCTCTGCTTCCACACTGGAAATGCATCAGATCCACATGGGAAGAGTTTGACTTTATTCGTATGACTTTAGGAGGGGGACCCAGGTAAGATCTCAGCCCCCCCCCCCAGAGCTGTGAGCGGCTCCACGTCGCACAGCCTCCGTAATGGGGTAACTGGTTTCCATCCAGAACCAACAGTGACCGTGGCTCGTGAACGCAGGGCGCACAGAAAAAGTTCCGGCGCGCACCGGATCGGACGCGCAAGAGGACGATCCATTCCATCCCACGAAGCGGATTCTGTTTTTTTCTCAGCTATAAAGATGCTTCTGCCTTTGCTTTTCTTTCTGTGTGCTTTGGACCGCAGTCGCTCCGCGGGCCCGGGACGGGAGGACTTTTTCACAAACCACTGGGCCGTGCGCATCGCAGGTGGTCCGCGGCAAGCCGATGAGATCGCCGCAAAGTATGGATACAGAAACCTGGGACAGGTACTGACCCTTCCTCATGTTTGGCATTCAGCTGCCTGCCCCGTGAGGTCTAACATCTTTAAGCCACTGGGGACATTCTGGATTAACGTTTGATATGTCTGTTATTATAATAAATAGGGGGTAGTGATCACCGCATACTCAAAAACACCTTAAACTTGAACTTAAGCTTCTTGATGGATTGAAACGAACAAATGTAATCATACATATATTCTCTATACATCTATTTTTACTATCAAAAGTATATCAGTCAATTTCAGTGTCGGTCAGCATGAAAAACTCTATTATTGTCTACAGATGATTGAGATTATGTTCGTGATAGAAAAATAACATATTCCATCTTGATTCCAACATTTAAATCTTTGTCCCATAACCTTTTGAAAAAGAAAAACTTAAGGCTAACAGTCTTTATCCTTGTTAATGTTAACACCACAAATAAAATCAAAAGAGTCTATACACTGACAGATAGCAGTTCTTACAGTAATAAGACTCACTGTTGGTTTGTCGTGGATAAGTTCTATATTTTTTTTTATAGGCTACTTACTTATTCTAAGATGTATAGGTCAAATTAACATTAATATTTACAGTAGAAATAATGAGCTCACATACGGACTCTCGCATTTACAAGAATGTGATATACTGTCTCCAGATGAAAAGAAAGTATACCTTTTACGGGTTTAGCAAATCAGGACAGAGGCACAAATCATGAATACTTGAACACAATCTTGGAAGAAAAAAACAACATCACTCTTTGTCATTATTCATTTACCAAGACTAATATGTATCACCCTCTTTGCAGAGTGTTGTCAAACAAATGTATTTGATTATGTCATGATCAGAAAGTTTGGCCTCATCTAAAGCAGAATCTAGTGTTGTAGACCTGGCCCTGCGGATACTTGGCTACATAGTGTGGAATGGCGATGGAGTAATACGCAAGAGACTGTTTCTGTGTTCATTTGTTCGCTGTAGTGTTATAAGAGGCTTCTTGATTAACAAAAGTTGCTTCTCGTACCAATTTTCAGCTGGCAGAAATCTTACTGTAAAGTCATAGTATGAATAGCTTTAAAAAGACAAACAAATATTATTAACATGTAAAAAGCACAGTTTTTATCCTTAAACCTACAGTTAGTTTACGAGGGTGACCATTGCCTAACATGTGCCTTTATTGCCATTTAACGAAAAACACCATATGACATATGCACAAAAATAATGGTGTAATGGTGATAGCCAGATTTAGAAGGTGATCACAGCACAAACTAGAGATTTAGGTTTAGGCACCAACAACAGAATTAGCCTCTGGTAATAGCACCAACACCAGAATTAGCCGCTTGTAGTAGCAACAACAACAGAATTAGCCTCTGGTCGTAGCACCAGCAACAGAATTAGCCTCTGGTTGTAGCACCAGCAACAGAATTAGCCTCTGGTTGTAGCGCCAACACCAGAATTAGCCTCTGGTCATAGCACCAACAACAGAATTAGCCTCTGCGCGATTAACCACTTTAGGCTGTGGTCATTGCACTATTCACATGACAAAACTGATTGTTTAAACACTACATACGGGACACTAATGTACCTATCTGCAAACCTTAAGAGAGATAAACTGAGGTTGGTAGGGAGAGAATTAAGTCAGCTGGGTTTAGACGGTGATCATAGCACAAACTACAGATTTAGGTTTAGGCATAGCACCAACAACAGAATTAGCCTCTGGTCGTAGCACCAACAACAGAATTAGCCTCTGGTCGTAGCATCAACAACCTAATTATCCTCTGGTCATAGATTTAGGTTTAGGCATAGCGCGATTAACCACTCTAGGCTGTGGTCATTGCACTAATCACATGACAAAACTGATTGTTTAAACACTACATACGGGACACTAATGTACCTTTCTGCAAACCTTAAGAGAGATAAACTGAGGTTGGTAGGGAGAGATTAAGTCAGCTGGGTTAAGACAGTGATCACAGCCCAAACTACAGATTTAGGTTTAGACATAGCACCCACAGCAAAATTAGCCTCTGGTGGTAGCACCAACAACAGAATTAGCCTCTGGTCGTAGCACCAACAACAGAATTAGCCTTTGGTCGTAGCACCAACAACCCAATTAGCCTCTGGTCATAGATTTTAGTATAGGCATAGCGCGATTAACCACTTTAGGCTGTTGTCATTGCACTATTCACATGACAAAACTGATTGTTTAAACACTACAAATGGGACACTAATGTACCTTTCTGTAAACCCTATAAGAGATTAACTGAGGTTGGTAGGGAGAGAATTAAGTCAGCTGGGCTTTCAGACAGAAAAGTCTAAAAACTAGAGTACTCTGTGCCAGTTGTGCACATGTGCTGAGAATTGCGCTCTCATTTTTGTTGAAAAGTCAAAAGAGAACACACATATTTATTGAATGACATAATATACTACATACAGATGGAGCAAATATGCTTTGAATTAAAAAGCTTTTGAAACACGAGGTTTCTGTATATCGTTTCATTGCGTAAAGCCAGAGTAAATTCATACCGAGCAGCTCTTTTCATAAATCATACACAGAAAACTGAATATCACAAACGTTGTTTTTCACTGTTCTGATTATTTTCTGTCTGCTTTTGGATGTGTTTGCTCAGATCGGAAGCTTGGAGGATCATTATCATTTCCACCACAGCAGGGTGGTTCGAAGAGCCGTGTACTCCTTGAAGGGCCCCCACAGCTTCATTAACATGGATCCCATGGTAAGCCACGGGCCAGTTTTGGTCAAGTGCCCTCGACATGTCCAGCAGAGAATAACTTCATACTTGCCTGGATGCACTTTAAAGTCCTGCTCTGGCAGCAATTCACAAACGTCTGTCCACACTGTAATCTGCTCAGTCCATCATTTTAACAGCCCAGAGGAGAAGGCTTCTCCCCATTATTTGTGCTTGGAGGAGATTATCTCCCTGTTCGGTTCTGCGTTGCAGGGCAATGGTGGAACGCTGACTTTACACATTCCACTGTTTCATTTTGAGTTGCGTCAGATAGGGGGAACTATTATTATCCATTATGTACATCAACCTCTGCAACCCCCCGCTTCATAATCAGCTCCAGGCTTCCAGAGTCAGTCCCCACTTGGTCTCTTTGAGTCACTGCTCAAGTATTAGAAGGCCACAAAAACTGCAGATTCATAAAGGATATCCAGAATCTGGGTGCATACATTGACACATTTAAACTTTCTTGATAAGATAAAGAAATCCTAAGATGGAAGTGTGTTTTTGTGTGTTTTTTGTTTAGTCTATAGACTATCTATCTATCGATAGATAGATAGATAGATAGATAGATAGATAGATAGATAGATAGAT